AGCCGCTGTGGGGGCAAAGAATCTGGTCTATTCAGGTTTTAAATCAGGAGTGGGCGTTTTCACAGAATTGCCCTTGAGCGCTGCCTACATGCAGCCTCTTCTGGGTGCCCTGGGGGGGCGGCCGGCTGGCACCCCGTGACCCAAATCTGCCCCAGCACCCGTCCAAGAGCCAGCTGCCGCTGGACTGGGGACAGACACTGAGGCAGCCCACTGGACGGCTCAGGGTTCAGGTCTTGGGGTGTAGCCCCAGGAGAAGGGCCGGTCAGCGGGGGGGTGCGTGCCCGGGACACAGGCCACAGGCCATGCAGGTGGAGTCTCAGCCCCTAGTCCGACAGCGAGCCCATCCGCCCGCAGCATCACCTTCTGTGGCATCTGCTGTCAGAAGTACGTGAAGGCTAACATCTCCGAGCAGTCAGCCACCACCGTGCGCTACACCATGAAGATGCTGGCCAGTGGGGCGGAGACCATAATCTTCATGTTCCTGGGCATCTCGGCCGTGAACCCCCTCATCTGGAAGTGGAACACGGCCTTTGTGCTCCTGACACTGGTCTTCATCTCTGTGTACCGGGCCATCGGTGAGGGTGCCGGGGGGACGGTGGGGACGAAGGAGTGTGGGGACGGGGGGTGGGGATGACGAGGAGGAGGGGAGTCGACGGGGGTGACCGGGAGGAGGGACAATGACAGGGATGCCTGGGGGAGGCGGGGATGACGAGGAGGAGGGGAGTCGACGGGGGTGACCGGGAGGAGGGACAATGACAGGGATGCCTGGGGGAGGCGGGTATTGGGGAAGGTGGGGAATGGTGGGGGGCAGTGGGGATGACTGAGGGATGATGGGGACAGTGGAGGGTGGACAGTGGGGACCCGCTGTGGGCAGTCTGTGGGAACCGAGGACGTGGTGTTTGTGACCAGCCCTCTTGGAGTGAACCCCTGGCCCAGTGAGCAGCAGGTTCCAGAGCCCCTGGGGAGCCTCAGCATGGCCAGGCCATCAGTTATGTGCAATGAGGGTTCAGGCTTTCTTCACGGCCTTGTCACCCTGAGTCAGAGATAGCATAGCTGGGGGGCAGGGTGGAAGGTTCTAGAACCTAGGGGAACCCATTGGTTTCCCCTTGACTCACTCTGGATGCTGTCGCTGAGGAAGCAGATGGAGGCTCCTGTGAGGCTGGATCCCTGCTGCCCGCTGTGACCCTTGTGGCCCATCCTTGGGGTGCAGGCCGGGGTGGGACCACAACCCACTCTGCCTGTGCTCAGCGGGGACTGGGGGCTCCAGGGAGCAGCTGCCGGAGCGAGACAGGGTCAGTGGTCCTAGGACACAAGGCTTCCCATTGCCTCCTGGGTCACAGGGCAGGTTTGGCTCTCGGCCAAGAGGGAGCACGGGTGTAGACAGGAGGGTGTGGGGAGAGCAGGGCCCCAGGGTGGCGTTTTCGTGACTTTTGCTCAGAACAGGACCCGTCACCCTCGCCGTCAATGCCCAAGGAGGGAATTCCCAAATGTTGCTCCCCCGGTGCCGTGGCTGCCAAGGAGGGGGGGCACTCCTGGGGTGTGGGCGCTCAGCGCGGGCCCCGCCCACAGGTGTCGTCCTGCAGACCTGGGTCTTGAACCGGTACCGGATGGTGCAGCTGGAGATCATAGATCAGGTGGTCATGTCCTATGGCGGCCTGCGCGGGGCCGTGGCCTTCGCTCTGGTTGTCCTTCTGGATGAGAAGAAGGTGAAGGAGAGGAACCTGTTCGTCAGCACGACCATCATCGTGGTCTTTTTCACGGTCATCTTCCAGGTAGGGTCGAGCGCGTGCCCCTGCCCGTCCTCCCGGCCTCACCATGCCGGCCCGGGGCGCTGTGACAAGCCTCTCCAGCCTCCAGGCCCTAATTGGTTTTTACTATTTTAGTAACTAGGAGCCGTTTTGTAGGTTTTCATGTGGCCCCACAGGGGACGCAGCACAATTTGGCCTAAAAATGTCCTTCCTGGGCTGATGCTGGCTAACAAAGCCCCAGTTAATATTCCATTGACCAGACATGCCCAGGAAAGTGTCCCACTTCCCCCTTGCTTTTGGACAATCTAGAGAGCTGCCTGGGGGGCCCTCAGAGCAGGGCCAGGTCCCTGTGCACCTGTGGGTGGCTGTGCATTCACACACTGGGGGCTCAGTGGACCAGGGTGGGCCCTGGGGTGGAGCCGCCTGCCACCAGGGTCAACACCCGTCTTCCAGGGCCTGACCATCAAGCCCCTGGTGCAGTGGCTGAAGGTGAAAAGGAGTGAGCATCGAGAGCCCAAACTCAACGAGAAGCTGCACGGCAGGGTAGGGGACCTCCCCGGTGGCAGCTGTGGGTTGGGGGGGCGGGGCAGGGCTGGCAGTTGCGTCCCTCCAAGTGATGCTAATCCCCTTCTCTTTCCTGCGAAGGCTTTCGACCACATCCTCTCAGCCATTGAGGACATATCAGGGCAAATTGGACACAATTATCTCAGAGATAAGTAAGTAGCTGCAGGCGCCCCTGGCTGGGCTGAAATGGGGATATTTGGAGGCATCTTTAGTCTCCAATGTCAGCTTCCTTCCCTCTGCCTTTAACGGGAGACCCACAGGGTAGAAAGAGCCGCTGATATTCCCCATAAACCAGCCTCACAAAGTGCTAGCTAACTGAAGAACACTGCCTTTAAAGGGGTCAGAAGGTTTCTTGACTGTCTGAGACCCCCACCCCCTGGGACTCCTGTTCCCCCTGAACCCCCTCCTCTCCCTGGGGCTCCCCCTCTCCCTGGACCCCCTACTCCCCCTGGAATCTCTCCTCCTCTAGGAATCCCCTTCCCTCTGGACCCCCTCCTTCCCCTGGGACTCCCCCTCTCCCTGGGACCACCCGGAGTCCCTCTGCTTCTGGGACCCCTCTCCCCCAGGAGCCCCTCCTCCCAGAGCCCCTCCTTCCCCTGGGACTCCCCCAGCCCCCTCCTCCCACTGGAGCCCCCTCTTCTCCCTCCGCCACCACGTCCGTCCTACTCGTGGCCCACTGGGCTTCGGCTAGATGTCCCTCTTATTCTCACCCGGCCACCTGCTCTTCTGACCCAGAATACTGGCCAGTACCCTAAGTGTGTTGGGTTTAAAGCCTCCTTCGGGCCAGCCTTGTTCTCGCCTAGTGTGGGAGCTCAGGGGCTCCTCCTCCCCCAGCCAATCCCTCTGCAGGTAAAATGCGCCCCCTTCACTCTAGCCAGGGCCCCAGGGCCCTGCCCTCCCCCAGCCTCACCCTTTCCAGAGGGTTAGGTAGTCACTTGGAAAACTTTGCAATATTGTATTAAATAAGAAAACAAAACACAGAATTCGACATACATTCTAATGACATGTACCTTCATATAGGAAGGTAGGAACAGAGCACAGAGGAGGAAAAAGCACCCCTGAGGTTTATTCCTTTTATTTTAAAACTCACCTTTGTGCTTGTTGCAGTAACTAAAAGTCAGGGTTGGGGGGAGGGAGGGCGTCTCCTGTGTCTCAGTTCCTGCGAGACCACGTCCATTACAAGTCTGGGCAGTGAGAGGGGGACCCCTACTCCATGCCCCCCACAACTGCCGAGGTCCCCGTCCACCCTGGGGCCTTGCCCACGGCCCACCCAAGTGTTGATATCGTGTTGGTTTGACCCCCCAGGTGGTCCAATTTTGATAGGAAATTCCTCAGCAAAATCCTTATGAGAAGGTCGGCTCAGAAGTCACGAGATCGGATTCTGAACGTTTTCCATGAACTCAACTTGAAAGATGCCATTAGCTATGTGGCTGAGGTACCAGAACATTCCATCTGCTCTCTTGTTGGAGTTGGGGGCTGGAAAACACCCAGCCAAAGGATGGGGTCTAGGGCAGCGGGCCAGGGAGGGAGGGCCCTGGTGGGAAGATGGCCCATGGTGGGGCTGCTGACAAGTTCATGACATGAAGCTCCTGGGTCCTCCACACCCCAAGAGTGGCTGTGGGAGCTGAGGCACAGCACCCTCCCCCACGGCTCTCTGTGGGATGCCCTGCGGTGTGGTGAGTCTGAGATCGAAGACCAGCTAGGGCATTGCAGAGTCATGCCCCCAACATACATATGTGCACACACGCATTAGTGCCTGTCTGCATACGCACAGCCATGCACACAGAGGGGAAAGCAGCAAGGATGTCTTGCATCCTGTGGGGCCAACAGGGCACACCTGGGAACGGGCTGTGGTTCCAAGGTCCTTGCAGGTGAGCAGGACTCTCCTGCATCCACAGAACACCTGCGTTCTATAGGTGACTGAATCCTCCCCCATGTCTTGGGGGCTGATGGGCCGTAGAAGGCCCCCCACCAACTAGTGGCTGGTGCATCCAGTGTGGGGTCAGTGAGTGGGCTCAGGGAGCCTGTGGAAGGATGAGGGACTAGCCTGCCACGCGGGCTGCATGGTGACTCTCTGGATCTTGCTGTTTCTGATGCCACATGCCCTGTGCCAACCCACAGCCACTCAGGCCTCGGGGTGCGTCGAAGTGACCCAGTCATAGCAGGTCCCAGGTCAAACCCCACTCCTCCTGGACACACAGTCTGGCTGGCCCCTCCCCAGTGGCCACATGCCTCCAGGCAGTGCACACGTGTGACAGTCGCTTGGCCTTTGCCCCGTGTGTATCCCCTGGGCCCCGAGGTCACCTGGCGCTCACCAGCTCAGGCCTGCACAGAGCCTGGTGAGCTAGGGATCTGCACTTCCATCTCAGCAAATCCCATGGACCTCAGCCAGAGGGCGTAGCCAGAGCCCTGGAAGCATCTGTTCCTTCCGAGGGGAAAGTGATTCCTGTCTCGAGTGGGCTTGTCCACACCAAATGTACAGCCTGATGCCCTAACACAGCCGGGGGTCACTCCAGGACAGACGGATGCAGGGGCCACAAGGAGAGCAGTAAAGAGAAGGGCCCTACACCATCTACTGAGCTAATGCCACACCAGCCCTGCTCCCCCTGAAACCCCAACCCACAAGCTCCAGGCACTGGGAGGGACAAGGTCACCTGCTGTCTGCACCGCTGGCCCTGGGCTGGGAAAGTTCACTGCTCAAATCTCTGCCCTCTGGGACTACAGAGGCCTCTGTGTCCTTCAAGCCTGGATGGCTGGGCAGGAGGGACTGTCCTGACTGTGTGGAGTGATGTCCCTTCTGCTGGCCGAGTCCTGTCTCCCTCAGACACTCCGACGCCCCTAGACCCCACGTGGGAGATGCAGGCTGCTTGCAGGGCCCCCACTGCCCACCACACTGAGCGCCCAGTGCCCGTGATATGAGCTCCTGCATGGTCAGGACTGGCTCTGCCCGCTCAGACCGCAGCGGGGGTGGTGCGTCCTCCGGGGCTGTGCCTCTGGGCCTCCTGCCCCGCCACGCCGGCCCCATGCCCTCCCCGGAGGCATCCCTGCTTCTCTTCCAGTGACCCCCTTGGCACTTGGCCCCACGCTCCCACCCAAGGAGAGTGGCTGTTTCCAACTCTCATTCATGTCCGGCTCGGCTCTACATGATCTTAATCTGATTCAGTTCCAGACAGAGGCCATGAGCCCCCACTGGGGGTTTCCTTCTCAGGGTCACTGAGGGCAGATGGTTGGGAGTCCCCAGTGGGGACAGGGGACACCTCCCCAGTCCTGTGGGGAGCTGCAATGTTTCCTGACGCCCCGTGCCCACTGAGGGTCTGGGTTGAAGGACCCATGGTTCTGCCTTCACTTTCCTCTTCAATCCACCAGCCCCAACCAGTGAGCGAGGCCTTACCTGTGGCCTCAGCTCTCCAGGGGCTGGTGGTCGCCTGGCTTCAAGGCACTCCACGGTGTGGGCTGACACAGCTTCCTCTTCCCCACAGGGAGAGCGCCGTGGGTCCCTGGCCTTCATCCGCTCTCCCAGCACTGACAACATGGTCAACGTGGACTTCAGCACACCACGGCCCTCAACCGTGGAGGCCTCTGTCTCCTACCTCCTGTACGTGCTCACGTTCACACGGGCTTCCACCAGAAGAGGCAGCCCCTGGCCTGGGCCCCTCCCCGCCTGCCTCTGGAGGCTGCTATGGGCAGGGGTCTCACCTGACCTGCACTCCCCAGGCCCGCCTGGTCATAGGCAGCAGGGCCCCTCTGGACAGACACTGGCCAGTGGGCACCTGGGGGCACCTGCGAGTCATAAAGGGTGGAGCAGAGGCCCCCGCATGGGACCACAGGGAGGGCATGCACACAGGCGCTGGTGTCCCCCGCTCCAGTGCCTCTGTAGGAAATGTTAGCGTCTGCCCGGATGGAGACCAAGAGAGGAGGGTGCCAGACAGAGACCTGGGCCTGAGGCCTCATCCCTGGTCACCCCTACCTACACCGGTCCCGGGGTTTGGGCCTCCTGCTCTGTGGTGCCGCAAGGCTGGGGCTTGGCCAACTGGTGTGCGGGTGCCGGGCTTGGGGGGTGAGTGAGGAGGGCACGGAGCACTGTGGGGGGGCAGGCCTCATGGGAAGTCAGGCCCAGGACAAGCTTCCCAGGAGGCCGGTGGTGAGGGCAGGAAGGGCAGGCGGTCACCATGGCCCCCACATAGGAGGGAGAACATCAGCGCGGTGTGCCTGGACATGCAGTCCCTGGAACAGAGGAGGAGAAGCATCCGTGACACAGAGGACATGGTCACTCACCACACCCTGCAGCAGTACCTGTATAAGCCTCGGCAGGAGGTGGGCTGCGGAGCCGGGCGGGGCACAGCCCCGGCCCCCTCCTCCCCCTGGGACAGTTTCCCTGCAGAGTGCGGAGAGGGCTGGCAGGAGGCGCGGGGCTCAGCCTCCCAGCTGGGTCCCTGGGCTCTCTCGCCCCTGGTCTGTCTGGCTGGGGGTGCTCGTGGGGCTGTGAGGTTCGGGGCAGCCCCAGCACCCCAGCCGTGCAAGGTGTCCCCACTGTAACCTCTCCCCCAGTACAAGCATCTCTACAGTCGGCATGAGCTAACCCCGGACGAAGACGAGAAGCAGGACAAGGAGATCTTCCACAGGACCATGCGGAAGCGCTTGGAGTCCTTCAAGTCCGCCAAGCTGGGGATCAACCAGAACAAGAAGGCAGCAAAACTCTACAAGAGGGAACGCGCCCAGAAGCGGGTAAAGGCAGAGGGGCCGTGGGGTTCCCTGGGGGTTGGGGTCCCACTAGGGCACCCCAGGGACAGGCCTGGGCAGGCACTGTGCACCTGTAACCCCTCACAGAGCAGGAGGGGCCCTGGAGGGCTCCCAGCAGCACCAGCAGGGACCCCCCTGGGAACGGTTGGGGCAGTCGGGGTCCGGGCGTAGCTGCGTCCACATCTGCTGACGGTTTCCTCTTGTTTCTCAGAGGAACAGCAGTGTCCCCAACGGGAAACTGCCCATGGAGAGCCCCATGGACAACTTCACCATTAAGGAGAAAGGTACTGGGGGGGCCACAGCCAGACCCAGAGACACATGCGATGGGGCAGGAGGGGTGCAGAGCACTGTCCCGCCAGAGAGACCCTTCCCCTTGGCAGTCAGGACCCACCTTGGGTAGGGGGCTGCTGCCAAGGCCCCAGCCCCTCTGGTGGGCAGCGCCCTGGAGGTGGGCTCCACATCCCCTGTCCCAGTCCCCACTCGGGTTTCAGCTACAAGAAGAGCTCCCTCTCTGAGCAGAGCCTGTTCCGCAGTGCACTCCCGCCTCCAGGAGGCCCGGCTGGCTGGGGAGGAGGAGCAGGGCCAGGAGGGCTGGACACGCCCCGTGGCTCCCGTGTAGGAGGGAAAACCTCTTGGTGTGGTTTTGCTTTGCCCAGCACGCATGGCCGCCCAGCAAGCTGCCCAGATGGGGTGCTGTGATGACAGCCCGCGGGGTGCTCTGCAGGCTGGTCAAGGGTGTCAGTCAAGGGCACTACACGGGGTTGTCTGTGCGCCCAGCCCGCTTCCTTCACGCTGCCCTCCCTTGCCACCAGATTTGGAACTTTCAGAACCAGAGGAGGCCCCGGACTACGGTGCTGAAATGGGTGGGGGGATCGAGTTCCTGGCAAACATCACGCAAGACAACACGGCGACAGACTCCCCCTCAGGTGAGGGGTGGGGCCGGCCCTCCTTGGGCCCCACACGTGAGCATGGTCATTGGTCGTTGATGGGGACTACAGGACCAGGGTCCACGTGGGGTGTGAGTTGCAGAGAGGGTCTCTGCTCCAGAGAAGGGAGCAGTCATGTGCCCTGCCTGCTGCGTGTGGAGAGACAGAACGGGGTGCGAGGCACGGAACCCCAAAGACCTTCCAGGTGACCTTCCAGGTGTCAGCTGCAGGAAGAGCTGGTGTCTGACCCCCAGGGCAGCACCCTCCCTTGCTGCTGTCCGAGGTTCACCTGGGAATCTGATCAGCCCCTGCCCTTTCTCCTAGGAATTGACAACCCCGTGTTCTCCCCGGATGAGGACCTGAGCATCCTCTCCAGGGTGCCACCCTGGCTGTCCCCTGGGGAGACGGTGGTGCCCTCCCAGAGGGCCCGTGTGCAGATCCCCTGCTCTCCGGGCAACTTCCACCGCCTGGCGCCCTTCCGCCTCAGCAACAAGTCCGTGGACTCCTTTCTGCAGGCCGATGGCCCCAGTGGCCCCGATGGCCCCAAGGAGCAGCCCCACAAGACCCTCCCTGAGTCCACGCACATGTAACTCCTGGCCCTGCCCACTGACCTGACACCTGCTCTCTCCTCAGCCCCTCTCCCCTAGCCAGCCGCCTCTCTGGCTCTGGACCTGAACTTCCGCAGACTCTCTCCAGCAACTCTTCTCCCTCCTTCTAAGCCTCTTTTCCAGCTGCACATTTCTTAGGACACCTGTCTGAGTCTCTGCTTCTCCAGCTGAGATGTCAGGATCCAGAGCTGTTTGAGGATCTCTGTAACCCATGTGCTCAGCCCATGAATCTGTCTTGAGCTCAGAGGGAACTGAGCCCAGGGCTGGGTGGGGGTTGCGTGGGAAGGGGCCTGTTTTCCTCCCTAAAGGCCCCCAGGGCTTTGGGAAAAGTCCATGTGACAGAAGTGAGTCCAGAAGAGCAACAGTCCCTTTCAGCCTCATACAGAGAGGAGTTTGGGGAAAGGGAACAGGGAAGTGGAGGGGCAGGCCACTAGCCAGCCAAGGGGACCAGCACCTCTCTCAGGAGAAGGCAGGGGTGGGGGGG